GTATCACAACCATGTAACTTCTCCTGAAAACTCACCTAGCCTTCTGATACTCCTCTTTGCTTACGACTATCTTATCGGCTTATATTTTGCAGGGCATATTTTGGGACACACACAGACAAATTGTCAGCTTAGTCATGTGTCCGGAGGGCTGACTACCTCACAAGGCAGGCAAAGATGTCACCTTTGTTGCTGCTGTTCTTCGGAGCCTCTTGTATTTTGTCGTCAGCCAGAACGACAGTTTACCCGAATCGGTGTACGTGTTGTCTGCCTAGCATGTGCCTGTAATTCATCTGAGTTGGAAGGCTCTAGTTTTACTCAATTCCGAGTCCGATGCAAGCTTACTACTACTGCCAACGGTATCTCTCCTCTATCAACTCAATCAATTGTGACACGGCATACTAATTCACTGTCAACCTGCGACTCAACCACCGGATTTCTCAAGCCGCTCTATCAACCTGGCTCATTCATTCCAGTCACAGCAGCCCACGCTGTTCACAGCACTACCGTTGATACGTATCCTATTAAATAAATTTAACTATTCTTCCTCCGTCTGGATTCTTTTTTTCATCCGAGCTCCGGTCTAGGAAGGCAGTACTGGTATTGTCCTAACTCCGCGTGTGACGCTCAACCTCTTGCACGTACGTATCAGTGCCCCCCAATCCAGTCTTGTCAATCACCTTGAAGGCTGACTCACATAGGACTTCATGTGACGGCTGTCGCGCTCTCACATTTTGGACGCGGCCATTTCGAGGTGTGATCGTAAATTCGTCCGACAGCCAACTTCCTCCAACATATTCTCTGCTACCTGTCTACAGAATACACTATTCCTCTCAGCTGGCGTCTTACTTCTTCTTCTCTTCCCCACGGAATGGGACTTGAAGATCGCAACGGCAAGGGTTTTACCTATTAACTTAAGCCACTGTGATAAGATTGCTGACTGCTATCCAATCGTGTTAGCGAACTCTAGACGATAACTCTTGGAGGCAAACGAACGTCTGCACAAGTGACTGGTAAGCACGAATCCCGCGTCCCTTCTAGTATGCTGTAGGCCCATGACCGGCTGCAGTTAACATACGTTAATTCTCAGGTGTAATGAGGAAGGGGTACGTACCAGGAGGTTGCCTTTGATAGGGGCCAGGGTGCCGTTGCGTTTGTGGGGTGCAAAAAAGATGGCAAAGGCAGCATGAGACGAACAGGTAAAGTCGCGGTTCTTCACATCACCCAATGCGAAGACAGATCTACTCTTGTTGACTTGATCCAGCGGGGTTTTCGGGTGTGTGATTTGGCTGTACTTGAGACCCCAAAGTGGAAAATCCGGATGCACGGTCGCGAAGCCTGCAAAGCGGCAAGCCTGTGGCAACCGAGCCTCAGGACATGACGGAGTGAGGAGGAAGATGGCGTCATAATCCGCCCATTTTGACTTGCGGGCAAAATAGACAATGAGGAGAGTTCCCACAATAACAGCAGTGATTAAAGTTCCTTTGTTGCGACCAAACATGACGGCGGGGAAAGGACTAGGCCGGTTGGTAGGCATAAGCTTGGACGAGAGCAATCTGCCTGTACGCTGGAGTTTGGGTCGATGCTAGAACACTGCTGCTGCCTTGCCGTCGCGATGGTTATGGCGCTGATCCGCCAATGAAAAAAGACCTTGCAGATAATTGGCCGAGGCGCTGGCGTGCGTACGCGTGATTTACTAGCCAAGTGGCTGAACTGACTCACGCCTGGCGTAATTGTGATTGGTTCGTGCTGCTTGGTCGGTGTCGCGCGTTTAACGTAACGACACTCGTCGATGAACGTTCAATTGACCGCTAACGTGATTCGTGTCATGCTCTGCCTTTGGCCTCGCCACAGGCCCTGAGAGTCGTAACAGCTGGTAGTATTGGCAGATAGTATTGCCTTTGCTGTCAGG